GAGAGAGAGAGAGAGAGAGAGAGAGAGAGAGAGAGAGAGAGAGAGAGAGAGAGAGAGAGAGAGAGAGAGAGAGAGAGAGCAGAGACTTAGTCACTATTTCGGCTATTGCCCAGACTCGGACACTGTTACAGAATTACACAGTATTACAGTACCTGGACAGAGTATTCGGGACTATTTTGGAGACTATTGTTGCGGCAGGGTTATCGAGTTGCATTCTCCCTTTCTCCATCTCCTTCGTCTATGGAATCAGTGTGGAATCTGTGGACGTATGTGGGGCATGGCGATTCTCTTCCATGTAATATCCGTTGCCATGTCCATCCCTGTGCGCGAGTGATGATGGATCCATGCAGTTTTTCCTGAGTCCTGAAGAGCCAGCTCTGTGTTTTCAGTCTTCCGCTCCTTCGTCATTGTTGTGCCTCTCCGTGGTGACCCTTGGTTCCTGTGTCATGCCTATCTGCTACGTATAGGCATGTGACAACGGTTACTGTTATTGTCACACACCCTTCTCCATCGTACTGGGCCCAGATCTGTCGCATGTGAATGCACTAACACAGTGTCACACGCTCTTCTCCATCGTACTCGGCCCAGTGAAGAAGAGAATACAATGGCCAGACACTGCAGACAGAGCAAAGAGGTCAAAAGCCAAGCATAGTTGATCGTGGTACGTGATCTGAGTCTCTGAGAGTCTGGATGAAGTGAGATCTCTGTGATTTTTTTTTATTTTTTTTGTTGGATACCCACGCTGAAGATGATCACGTGGTAGTACGGTGGTACACATGACACAAGCTGGCTGTGGCACTGGGGCCCAGTGGGGGGATGTGGTCTGCTGCCTATGAATTTGCATGCAAGGATTTACGAAATTAAGATAGCTAGTCCTTTGGGACATCCGTTAAAATTGGAACGATACAGAGAGAGAAGATTAGCATGGCCCCTGCGGAAGGATGACACGCATAAATCGAGAAATGGTCCAAATTAAAATTAAAAAAAAAAAAAGAAAAAAAAAAAAGAAGAAGAAACTTGAGATAGCTTATTGGAGGGAGATATGGTTGAGCATATCTACGCACTGGAAGGGAGGAGGGAAGTGACAGACGTAAGCACATATTTTTGTTTATGGAAACCGCTGTCACACTGAGGAATTTCGTGAGAATTTCGTGAGAATGGCTCAGAGACATGAGCAGAGATTGTAAGATGTATCGAAACCGCTGCAAGGGATTTTGTTAAAGTGGTTCAAGACGATGGAGAGGCCATTCAACGGCTGTTGATTCATGGCCTGAGGTCTCTTTACATACTTTCATGGGGAAGGGTGTGTGACAGTGTGACACTGTGTTACTGCATTCAGATGACTGCTGAGTTGTGCTGACGTGTAGTATGCTAACTCTCTCACTGAGTCCCTGGGGTTGTGGCACATGCGGCATGCCTAGTACCATCTTCACCCGAATAGAATGCCCGGCCATTATAGCTATATTTGGCAGCACTTCCAATCTAGACTGAGTCTCTAGATACAGTGAAAATGACCGGGCATTATATTCGGGTGAAGACGGTAGCGTCTGCTGCCAATTCACCTGTTCATCGTGCTGATGGGTGTAAGTCACATCCGGATCTTGGACTGTCTGATCATCTGATGTTACAGTATTCGTTTCAAGTTAGCATTCACTTCAAACCATTTGATTGCTGTAGCATTCACTTCAGAGTCCAGACCGTTAGATTGCTGAAACAGATCATCATGTTCAGAGTCCAGACCGTTAGATTGCTGAAACAGATCATCATGTGCATTGTGCAAAGCACTGTCTGACTGCTTCTTTTTTTTTTTAAGCACTAAGGCTCGGGCTCTGTGCTGTACTATGGCTCTTTTCAAGTGTGCCTATAACTGTCTTAAATGTGTCTGTGCTATCCAGATCTCTGAGTCTTCTTCTTCTTTGTCGTCTTCTTGTTCTTCCTCTTCTTCTGGAACAGGTTTGAGCACGAGGTCGGGTCTGCCTCGGAGTCTCTTGTGCAGACATCGCGGACACGTAATTATTTTAATTTATCAAATATTGCATAAATAATAAATATTAAATTCGTATGATCATATGATGTTATGTTGCTGCCCATAGTTTGCCTCCATTTTTTCCGCCAGGAAATGAACTCCAATGTCGACTTCACACCATTGAGACCAAATTGAATATCATACTGAACTTAATGAAGTGAATAGCATCAGATTCTCTGTTCAGACCAATATCATAATGAAGTGAATAGCACCAGAATAATCTGAATTACAACTTGGAAGCATGACTACAATACGGGTATAAGATATCTGGACAGCCTTGTGGACAGTCGGGTAATAGGGTCTGGATGCAGTCAGGGTGGGGATGCTGCTACGCTTTGGATGTAATTTGTGTTTTAACTTTTCAGTTACTCAGTTACTCATGAACTGTTTGAGATTGACAATCGCTGCTCCTACTAGGGCTAATGACTCTGCGAGGCCACTTTGTGTGCTTCTCAAGGAACACTCCTAAGACCCCTATGAGCAGTTAAGTAATGAAAAATGTGTGTTGTCATCAATGTCCAATGTCATGCTGCAGCAATCTCGTCCCGCTGGGTGATAATTCCAGAAGTTGATCCAGATTGAGTGTGTTTGTGGGTTTTAACTGCAGCGCTGCTCATCAAAGGCCATTGCCATAATAATTATGATAGCAGCTCTTTTGTGAGACTTACCACAGTAAGGTAGTAACCACAGTTACCACAGTAAGGTAGTAACCACAGTTACCACCGTAAGGTAGTAACCACAGTAAGGTAGTACCCACAGTTACCACAGTAAGGTAGTAACCACAGTAAGGTAGTAACCACAGTAAGGTAGTAACCATAGTAAGGTAGTAACCACAGTAAGGTAGTAACCACAGTTACCACAGTAAGGTAGTAACCACAGTCACCACAGTAAGGTAGTAACCACAGTTACCACACTGCCAACCACACTGAGTTGAGTGAGCTTAGTACCCTGTAGTTTAGAAGACTGCACACTGTCAGGACATTCACCAGAATCTGATGTCATTTATTGAGTGTAACGTTACTAACGTAGAGTTAATTTGAGGCCCCTATTGTATACCGGCACCAGGGTGACCGTCTTGTTAAATAAAAATAAATAAATAGACAATAATAATAATAAATAAAAGAGCCAATGAGGTCCCCTAGTCGACGCACGTTTTTTCTCTTGTCATTCATTTCTCTTGTCTCTTCGTTCACTGTTTACGAAATGTCACTACTTGTTACAATCTTCGTGTCCGAATAACTATCCCTCATGCGGCCATGCCATAGTGTCTACTGCTCAGGCAGCATGATGCAGTCTTTCTTGCCCATGTTTACCCAACTCTGCACTGCAGTCCATAGGTCTTTCTCTTCTCTGGCAGTTTGTGTTCTTTTGATGCCAGCTGGCATTGCGTAGTACAATGCTACACAATCATAATGGCTGGTGGGAAAGCCTCCAGTTCGCCCCTGAGGTTCCCCTCTGCAGTAAAGTGCATGCAGACCCCATTCTCGTGGCACTGCTGGCATGGAAGCAATTGGCTATTTTCAATATTTTATTATTTTGTCGTTTCCTATGTTACGAGAGTTGTTACGAGAGTTGCCCAGCCGGGCGAACTTGCAAGAGGGGTGACCTGCCCGAAGTACCCGCGCGACACCAGAAAGGGGGTCATTTTTTTTTCCTTTTTTGTACTCTACGTCAATAGCAACTCCCATTCTGTCTACAGAGGCTAGTTTCTTCGAATTATCTTGCCATATATTCCTGTTCAAAGTATGCTAAGAAAAACGATGTTGCTTTACAAAGATGCTAAACGTAATTTCACCATTTATTATATTGGATTGATTTATTTTAAATTTTTCTATAATTTATCATATCACAATTAATTTTAACAAAAGTTTGGGAACAAACCTTGTAAGGACATATCTTGGATTCATTTGTCCAATTACCAAGTCGGGTAGCAAGTGCCCTCCACCCCCCCCCCCCCCCCCCTGCCCCCCCCCCCCCAACCAACCAAAAAAAAAAAAATCAAAGAAAAAGAAAAAGAAAAGAAAAGCAAAAGAAAAAGGCTACCAGTCGGGCCGTGTATACACACATCACAGTCGTTTTTTGTTTTGTTTTGTTTTGCGCATCAGCGATCAGCGCACCGTGCTGCGTGCACCGCACCTCACATAATATGCCCCGCAGAAATCGATCGCTCACTCCAGCTGCTGCACTGGCAAACCACAGCCCAAGTATTATCACAATTGAAAATAATCATCGAAATTCGAAAATGATCAAAATTCATCAAATCCATTCCGAAAAAGTGGAGGGTTCGTCCTCCAACCCTGGAAATGTCACACACTTGAGTGACTTGCACTTTGGACACATCAACACACCAGCTGCTTTACAAGAAGGGCAGCGTCTATACATCCGAGTACTGTTATTAACTTGAACGTTTGTCTTCTGCCCCTGACAAAAATCACAGACAAACCATCCCGATCCTGAACAGATATCGCACTGGATATGGTTGTCATCGTCCAATGCGACAACGCTTTCTACGCTTTCAGCAGAGTCAGCAGACGCATTGCTCTCCACCGAAGAAGGCAACGCATTCGTACTGGTTATCGTGGCCGTCTTCCCATGCTTGGCAGCAGGAAAGGACGGTCGTCCACACATTCCCCGACTGCAAGAACTCGAACAATTCGGCCTCAAGGAATTCTGCACAAACTCCTTCCTGCCAGTGAGCAGCTGCCTCCTCCACTGCATCTGTGGCTTGCATCCAGATGACCTTGAAACGTACACACTTGTGCCGTCACTAGTGGCACAATGAGATTGTGTGGAGCGGCCGATTAGGGAATCTTCCATCGGGGAATGATCGGCTGAAGCAGGCAGCTTCTTGTGTGCCAGGCTAGCTTGCGGTGGGCTCGACAGCCATGCCAATCTAGCCTTGGAGCTGCGCCTTGGTGACAGTTGTCCCCTTCTCCTCCTCGAGATTTTGCAGTGAGAAGCCGAAGATGGGGGAGAAAGAGAAGAGCAGGCAGTGTTAGATGTCGTGCAGTGCAAGAGCACAGCCGGATTGGTGACGGGAAGACCTTTTACATGCAGTGGACGCTGGCTGCCATGACAGCAGCAACCCGGCAATGGACAGTGTGTCCGCACCTCCCCCAACCGCCACATTGACCCACATCTTGCCCGGTCAGCTCTGCACCTAATGATGGACGGGAGCGAAGGCTGCCTCGACATGGCCCCACCCCTCACCCTGCCGGCTGTGTGATCATTGCACCTTGCCTCCGCGCCTTCAGACAAGTCCGAAGACACAAGGGCTTCTGGCTTGCCCATGCGAGATGCGCTTGCAGAACAGGTGCTAAGAGCCAACGAAGACGATGGCACCATCGCAAAGCGCCCGAGCCCTTAGATCTGCAAGACAGGAAAGGCAAACAATAGCTGGTCAGTTGCATCAGTCGTGCACACAATCCTAAGTCACAATTAGCGAGTACCGTCACAATTAGCGAGTACCGTCACAATTAGCGAGTACCTACGCTGCTCTTCGCCTTCCTCTCCCTCTCCTTCCTGGCACAAAGCTTCACACAGTGCATATAGATAGGACATTATCAGCCTCGAGGGTTATTGCATTTCAATCCATTATGTATGCGGCACTATATACTCTCTGATTGTCACACTGTGAATCAGAGCGCGAAGGCGAAAAAAAGGCAAAACAAGGAAAGGAAAAGAAGGAAGGAAGTGAAGCCCCACCTGTTCATCACCTCTTACATACAAGGCCAGCCACGTGGATGACAGGTTGTGCGCTGGCTGCCCCCATCCCCGTGTGTCACAAGGACCCACTTGCACGCACTGCCAGCCAAAAGGCAAAGAGGTAAAGAAAAGGAGGAGGAAACCAGACCTCACCGAGGCAAGAGAAAGAGAAAGGTCAAAGAAAAGACAAAGGAAGAAAGTAAATGACACATCCCTCGGATAAACCAATTGCCACTGTCACTACAAAGTTCAACATATTTTTCATGGCCACGCCGGACCCGGACCCGGACATTTCCGGACATGGAACCGGACCCGTGTCCGGTAGTTTCCGGACGTCCGGAATTCCGCACATTTCCGGACCTCCGGATATGGGGTGGATCCGGACGGTCCGGAAGTCTGGACAGGTCCGGAAATGTCCGGACCATTAAAAAAAAAAAAAAAAAAAAAAAAATCTGAAAAAAAAAAA